ACATTCTCTGTGAGAGTTTTCCCTTCAAATTTCTAATTGATGCATTCTTTCCAGACTTTGCTCAGATTCTGCCTTCTGAAAGAGACTCTACATATCATCTCAGCCTAAGGCTGCAGGCCTGTCCCTTACTTTAACAACATATTTTTTAAGTTTTCTATCTCTCTTACTCAAATAAATTTAATGAGGGAAAGGAATTCTGTGTTTTATTCATTGTTATATACCCAATTTCTAGAAGAGTGCTTAGCAAATAAGAAATGTGAATTGTTAAATGAATAATTTCATAGGAGGCCAAAAAGAAAGTGAGTTGCAGGACCAACTCACAACTCCTCACTACTGAGTTATCTCTTAAGACTTTCAGAGTAACTGTCAGGACATGGCATGATGCAATAAAACAAACACAGGTCTAGTGATCTGTGAGGGGATGTTTACAAGGGAAAAAACCCCTCGCTGCAATTATAATCTAGTGTTCAATAATCTCAAAGAATACAGAAAACTCATTTCTAAATAGATATTCAAGAATTATAAAAACATATTTCTATCCATGAAAGGATTCTACTTTTCCCACATCAGAGACTTAATTAGAAATTAGAAATCCCATAGTTCCAGGAAAATCACTGCAAAGTACCTACTTTCTAGGCTAAAGAAAATACACAACATGATACATTCTGTGAGCCTCCTTAGCCCTTCAGGGGAGACTAGAAAATGATGGAGAGAACATGTAATACATGGCACTAGTAAAAATATTTAAAACTGCTTTTGCTATATTAAAAACAGTATCATAGAAAATGTTTCCTTCAGTACAAATAAACAAAAATGGTAACCAACAATTATTGTCTAACTGATGTTTCTGATAGTATTCCAGTCAAAGAACAAGGTATTAGACCATATTAAGCAATGGGTTTTAATGCCTTCACTGCTCAAATCCATTTTTACACCTAGGAGTAACAAGCAATTGCCAGCAAAGCTAGAATAGGAAAATCAAATACTCTGCCTATTTACATACGGTTCCCTGAAGCCATTCCTGATTAAAAATTGTACCATTTCAATCTTCCTTCTGGAGATATCTATTAACTAGAAATTCATGTGAAAGCCAACGAATTTAGTATATAATTACACATATCCTATACAAATTACTTCTCAGTGACCTTTATTCATGAAAATAAACCAAAGGGAAATGACTGGCTGATTATAAATCTGTGAGAAGACTTTTCTGGGAAAAGATATTGCAAGCAAAGTCCTGAAAGACCTGAAGCTTCAACTAAATTTATTTCCAGCAGAAGGTAAAGACTTCTAAATCTAAACTCCCAATGCATTTGATGTGAACTTCTCCAGGGGAAAGCAACACTTTGCAACTGACATCCCTGATCTTGTCATCAAGTAAATATAGGACCTTGGGCAAGTTACTTTCCTGCTCCCCTCAGAAGTGATTTCAGAAGTCTCCTCCAGATCTAAGGGTTACCATTTCATAATCAACATCACAAAACTCTACAATCAGATGTTTTCTCAAGGCAAGGAGTGCATTTGATTCACCTTTGGACCTAGTACTATCTAGAACAGCTAACTGAACTTCCCTTAGCAACTGCTTACCAAACATGTTTAAGGACATCTGTGACCCTCTTAAGCCCTACCCACCCCTAAACAGGATTTTTAACCCAACTGCCATCTCTTCACATCCACCCTTAGCATAGTTTGGGAAGGAATATAAGCAGGCCAGAGAACTAAACATCTTGTCTCTTGGAAAAAATGCATCCACCAGAGTTTCAAGGCATTTAATTTGTATGACATCTGGCCCCAAATCACACAAATAGGTAGAGACCTGAAAGAGGTTCCATTTTATAGAATAAGTTACTTAACAGATTCTAATCACTGAGAGTTATGTGCTAGAAAATTATAGCAGATGTAGAAGAGAAATGAAGTTGGAGGGAGAAGGTGTCAGGACTTTAAAGGAGGACAAACAGATCCCCTTAACCTTTCTGAGCAGTGGCTATTTTAAAAATCCAAATCCCAAAGATAGCTCCACCACTGTGATAGGGAATACCTACTCGTAAAGTACACAGGCTTGGGTGTTAAGACTTGGGAGACCAGACAGTCTTGATTTAAATCCTAGCTCTGCCAATTATGAACTGTATAACCATGAAAAATTAATCATCCTCTGTGCCTCAGTTTTCTCATCTGTCAAATGACAATACTAGTATAGTCCTACATTGCTTAACACCAGGCATATGTTCTGAGAAATATGGTATGAGGCAGCTTTTTCACTGTGTAAATACCAGAATGTACTTACCCAATTCTAGATGGTATAGGACAAACTCACTCAAGATGGCCTTGATGCAGTCAAGAGATAGAATAAACATCAGATGTATGATGTCAGTTTTTATTTAACACAGCAATGTTTCATAGTAAATTTGTAAAATAAATATGAGTACTGTAAAATAACAAAGTATGATACAGTAAACAGATAAGCCAGTATATGATCACTTCAAAGTATTGTTATCTAATTGTATATGCTATTATTTTATACAACTGGAAGCACCAGAGGCCTGTTTATTCCAGCATCACCAAAAATGCATGAGTTATTTGTAGTTTTACAATATTAAAAAGTCAATGGGCAACAGAAAATTGGCAGCTCTATTATAAACTTATGGAGTCACCAACAGTATATGTGGTACTCTTCAATCAAAATGTCATTATGCATAGCACAACTGTTCTTAATTACTACTTCATTTACAGGGTTGTTGTGAAAAAGATGAAATGTTTGCAATAGTGCCTTGCATACAGTAGGTGCTCAAACCACAGGAACTCCCAGCACTAGCATTATTATTAGAGTTTCAGGAATCTTGCAGGTAAGAAAACAAAGGCATTATACTGCTCTTATAGTTCTCAATTTTATAGTTCCCTCTTCTAGGTTATGACTGCAAGCATAAATATTTCTATATTGAGACACAATTTATATATTTTATCAGTCTAAACTACTCTATCTATAGAATAGTTTATATTCTATTCTTAAAAATATGTTAGTACCTTTCTGAAAGAGATTCTAGATTTCAAAATCAACTTGATCGCCCATGTAAAGGAAGTACAATAGAACTATTAACCTGCAGGACTGAGAAGAAATGGGAGTACAAAGACACCTTTGTGGCAGTTTGTGCTATCACATGCCACTACTACAGTTTCTGAAAGCTGCCTCCATAAGAAAGAGAGTAACAAACTCAATTGTTCCTTCACTTCAGAGTTCTTGGATGTGATAGTTCTTAAATCCCTGGCAAAGCCTTATTAATAAGATCAGAGGATCTCAGTTCTTTCCATTAGGACAGCACTGAATCCCTTCAAAGGATTTTTCTTGGGTCAGTGTTACTATTCGAGAGGCCAGGGATACTGGTGAAATTTCCAAGCTCTGAAAGAAGGGAAAAGAAAAGAAAAATTTCAAAAGGATATATATGAATATACACAGGATAGCTAAATAATTGTAGTACTAATTTCTATTGGTTTATTGAAGGGAGTAGTTATTAATGCTTAAAATTTTATTTGACCAATTTTGCGTTTATATCTGGTAATCTGAGCAACTACTTTGAAGACAATAATGTGCAATATAACAACCATTGTTGAATCCCTATCATCTTTTCTTAAATTCTATATCATTCTAATGTCTTATCTATTTTTTATTTCCTTTAAAATATAAAATTAACCTAAAAGGATAAAATGGGGGGAAGCTTTTTTAAATACGGAAGGGAGGGTTAAAGGGAAAAGAGGGGATTGGGAAAAAAGAGGAATCAAAATATAGCATGTACGGGTACAAATTTTCTATGATGAATAGGATCATTATGTATATCTAAAATGTACCAATAAACTAGTACTTTGTTTTGAACTGAAAATATTAGGGAAGGATACTAGTATGCCTGGGGAAATTTTTGAGACAAAGAAATTTTAAGAGTACTGTGACATTTTTTTTTTTCTCTAAAAGCTCTTCTCTGAAACAATCATTTTATTAAACAAACAAAAAAACCTCACTGAAAGTAACAATAAAAATGGACTTAAAAATACAGAGGAGAGTTAATATTCTATCATATATTCCTCTGTCAAATAGTCAAACAAAAAAGAAAATGATGGCCTGGCTGGACTTTGTACATCCAAGTACCTGGTGTGTAATCCTATTCTGAGAGGCTGAGGATGCTAAACCAGTGGTGGCAAACCTATGGCAGGCATGAGCAGCAGGCTGTCTGGAATGCTGAAAACACATAAAAGCTTCACCATCACTACAGATGCACAGAAACTGAACAACAGAAAAAGGAAAGCTTGGGTAGACTATTAAGAGTGGCCTATGATCTCTGTTCTAAGGCAACCAGATTTCAGAAAAAGCAAAACCAAGTCTGCCACAGCAACCCTATGCCATTTAAAACTGCAAAACTATGAAGGGAGCTGGAAAGCTTTGCGAACACGGAGGAATGCCTGCTTATGAAAGTCACCTCAGTAGCTTCTGGCAAGGAAGGACAGTGGTAAATATGATACAAAACCAGGAACAAGTCCATACTTGACAAATCATGCCCATCAAGATAGTGATGTCAACCACAGTAAAATATTGTGGCAAGACAAGAAATGTGCACCTGTGAGAGCCTGGAAAGATTTGACAGATTTCTCTTTTCCCGGCCCTTGATCAGCCAGTTAATTATAGTAACTGTACAAGTACTCCGAGCTTTAGAGAAAGGCAGTTGGCTGGATGAATCCAAGATGCTGCTCTCCTGGGCATGGGAAAGACAAATATGGCAGCAGTACTTACATGCAAAAATATTCTGAGTGCATGCAACAGTGAGCCACACAGCACAGCAAGATGAAAAAAAGTATATGCTGCAGACACATAAGTGAGATAAGCCTCAAAGTACACACAACACAAATACACACATACACATGCATAGCAATAGCAAACATACATATGCACATCAGTTTTTAAGAGTCTAAACTCTGGCCATATTACGTTGGGCTGCTTTTCCCCAGGCAGACAGTACCTTCACAGCTATAACTGTACACTGCTACTGCTGACCTGTCCACCAGGTTTTCATCATGGTGCCAGCTCACTGCCATTTTCCCCATACCAAAGTAAGGCTCCTCTTTCAAATATGGCATCTTTTGAGGATCCATGAAATTCAGCAAAGTGACGTTATATGCTGCTCTGCTCTTCGTATCTGCTTCATCACAGGATGACCTCATCCCAACTCTGTGGAACTCAGTCATACACACTGGCGTGGCATCTTCATTGGTCTTCTCTTTGACAGCAAGTTCTTCCAAAGCCTGGATGGTTTCTATCTGCAGATAGTCATTGAGCTTAAGAAAGGTCCGACAAGCAGCAGCAATCTCTGCCTCAGTGTAGCTTACATCAGACCCCTTAACAGGCCAGGGTACTGTAAAAAGCCTAGTATTCAGGTACTTGTAGGTGCAGCCAGGATTCCCAATGAGGATGCGAGACACTGGAGTGAGAATATCTTTGCCTTGGATCCTCACTAGGTCCCGAAATAAGCAGCCATGCTTGTGCAATGTGAGAAAGGCCTCCTGCACCTCTTTGTGGAGCTCTTCCGACACACTGCCTGCTTCTCGGAGAATCACCTTAGGGTATTTCAGCTCCCACTGAAACAAAACCAAAGCAAAAAGATCATTTTTTTATGGATAGCAGACAGCTATCTCTTGCTCTCACATAACTTTCTACCAAATCAAGTCAATAAATAAGGAAAAAGAATATCAAATGGTGATATGTATTAGGACGGAAACAAACCACAGAAAATCTGTCATGAGGACAGGAAGGAATCTCTTCAGAGGTTATGTTTAAGATGGAAATCATCAAAACAGAAGGAACCAGCCAAGCAATATGCTTCAAAAAGATACAGAAGACAGACCAAAAATTGTGAAGGCACTGAAGAAACAGACCAACCAGATCTAAGGCCAAAAGGAAGGCCAGTTTTACTGAAGCATAGGAGCCAAAGGCAAACTCATATGTACTGAGGATGAAGAGAGAGACTGAGGCCAGATCACACACACAGCCTCAGAAGTCACCCTAAGGATTCTCTAAGTATACCTGAAGCATGTAGGGGAGAAGAATAATTTGATTCATATTTTATAAAAATCACTTTTAGTTATTATGTAAGGAATGGATTGGAAAGAGGCAAATGAAAAATGTAGAAAATCCTAACAGGTGCTATTATGACCATCTAGGATAAAAATGTTGAGCCTGAATTAAGGTAGAAGCACAAATAAAACATGTATTTTATAGATACAAGATGTAATTATGGAGCAGATGTGAGGGGTAAAGAAAGAAGATAAAGCCCACTGTGGTGGCTCATGCCTGCACACCCAGCACTCAAGAAAGCTGAGCTGGGAGTTCAAGGCTACCCTGGGCTACACAGTAAATTCAAGACCAGCCTGAACTATATAAGAGACCCTATCTCAAACAAACAAACAAACAAACAGAAGTTAAGAATGAATTCCAGATGTGTGGATTTTATAACAGAATTACTTTTTTAAGTAAGTAAGGCTGAGGCAAAACAGAAATAGTATGGACAAGAATAGGGAGGAATGAAGAGATTTACTTTGGAGTTGTCACCATTAGGCTATCTAGCTATGAAATCCCAGTTGGAAGTAGCAAAGGGCAATTGGACATACACAGGTGGACATTAGAAGATAAAGTGGGCCCAGGAGCCTACAGTGGGAACCAGCACATAGCTGATTCACAACAGTCTACAAATGGATGAATCACCAAGGAAAATGGTCAAAATATAGAAGAGGGACCAACATTATTTCCTGAGTTGTAGAAAAAGGTTCAGCACAAGAACACATAGAAAACTAGAAGAATTTATTAAAGCAGAAGCCACATGAGAAGCTATTTCAAGAGGAGGTTAAGTGAGATGAGAACAAGTTACCCATTAGATTTCACAATACAGATATCATTGATGGCAATGACAAGGCACATTCAGCAAAGTAGTAGGGATAGAATTAGATGGATAAAATAGGAAGAAGCAGAAATGCCATGTATAGATATCTGAGTGGTTTTGCTGTGACAGGGAAGAAAAAAACAAAATTATTGATAAAAAGGAATGTTAGGTCAAGAGTCCACCTTCAATACTGGAAGACACTAGTGTACAAATACAGTTTGTCGATATAGTCACAAAAATGATCCAAAAGGAAGAGAATGATGACACAAAAGAGGATGAATAATGGAAAAACCAAAGCTCAAAAGTACCTACAATAGCAATCTCCCATGTGAGGCATGCAGGGATATGCCATTAGAGTTTGGAGAAAAGGAAGGGAATAATAAAAGCGTTGTTTTGTGTTTACTTATGTAAGGAAAAAGAAATCAAGCTTTCCTAAAATACTTATGCATTACATATATGATTAATAAGACTAATATCCCAGTGCTGGGGAGGCGACACAGGAGGATCACTTCAAGTCTGAGTAGCATAGTGAGTCCCTGTACCAAATAAATAAACAGAAGATTTAAAAAAAAAAAAAAAAAAAAAAAAACGTTTTAAAGACAAAAAGTAGTTTTCAGGAGTCTCTTCATGTCAACTCTTGACAGCTTTCCATGTACATTTCTTTCCAGCAACCTCTTCAGTTACACTGTGCCAACAGCTTGAAACTGGCCAAGGTGGCAGCATTCAGACTACAGAAACCAGAAATCCTAAAAATTGAGGCTGATTTTTTTTTTAACCCCATAGACAGGTAGGCTATGGATAAACATTTAGTGGCACACACCATATGTGTTCAAAATTTCTTACTGACAGAAATGTGATTTGGATAGAAGACCTACTTCCTATATTACAATAGGCTGAAAAGAGGGAGGGGAAAGATACAAATTCAGGCAGGATGGTAAATTTGACAACTGGAAAGTGAGTAACTTCCATGACTTTTGCTTTTGTTTTATTTAGGCATGCTTTGTTTGGTTGGTTGGTTTTTTTGTTTGGTTTTTTGGTGACTAGAAAGCACTTTAGTTTTCTCAATGAAATATAAATGGATCTCTAGCTATAAATGTGTGCTAGTCATGGAGCTGTTCGCCAAATAGTTACAGATTGTTCCACTAATCCAACGTTTTGGGCCTATTTTCACTTCCTGGAATGAACACGTGATTGCTTCTGTCCAGTAAGATGATGGCTGTCACTGCCAGTCTGGACCAATTCATGCCCAGGCCAACTCCCTCCAGAACACTTTTTCCTTTTGGCACAGCACCACCTGGTAGCTGCTCTTGGATCCTTGAATTACTTTAATGAGTAATTACTTTAATGAGTACTTTTTTGCCAACCCACAAATGATATGCAAAATGAACAAGAAATACTGGGGTGCAAGGCCACTTAGATTCGAAAGCTGTTTACTACTACAGCATAATTGAGTTTATTCTGCTCCCTGCAAGCACAAGAGACAGAGGCCTGTAGGAAATTAAAAGACATGTGCAGAAGAAAAAATCAAAAATGGTAGCCTGAATGTGGAAAATGATTTCACTAAACAAGGGTAATAGGACCGCCCTGCTTCTCACAGTGCTGATCTGACATGTGTGACCAAGAACTAAAAATGAAAAGTCCTGTGACATACCAAGATGGATTGTCATCGAGACTGCCAGGGATCCATGAGGATTTATAGTTTCTATGCTTCCTTTATCCCTGCTGGCAAACAAAACAGTGATATCATACTTTCTGTTTACACAGAGAGCAATATAATCCTGTAAACAGAGAATGAATTCTGGAGTGATGAGCAGTAACTTTAATTTTATCACTAACTGGTATTTTCTGAGCAAGTCCGTGGGGCATCAGTAAAGTCATACACCTAATTAGCAGCAGTAATTAAAAAAGTCTCCAAATGTGCTTAACAACACCAGTTTTCTTTGAATGGTCCTTACTTTGGAAAATTAAAGGAAGTTCAATAATTTCTAAGAGCTTTATTTTTCAACATATGTTCCATCTGGGACTAAGAAAAAATACCAAAACTGTGTGAACATTAACACACACACACACACAACTTTGTTGCTCTGTTCAATACACAAAAATGTTAGACTATGTAAGACATATTTAAAACAAGCAAATTATACCCCTAACATCCTATACAGTGCACATAACTATGTAAATATCACATACAAATACTTAAGTATTTAAAACAGCACAATAAAAAGAAAGTAATACAAATGGCATAGGAAATTTTTTTTAAATTTTTTTCAGTGATATCTGCCTCTTTTCCCACAGCCCTCCAGGCGCAGAGCTTCAGTGCCCACTCCTCTCTGCAAGGCAGGCTCTTCCAACTCCCCACCTGATGGTCCTTCCCAGTCTCCAAGTCTCCTTCACAAAGTGTCACTTTCTCAAGAAAAGCTTCCAGAGTGCCACAGCCCAGCAGGTGTCCCTCCTTTATCATTCACCATCCTTTGTCTGTTATCATACTTATCAGTTAGTAAATATCTATTTATTGGAACTATTATTTAATAATCTGTCCTGCAAGACCACAACCTTCTAGAAGAAAGTGGTAGTAATTGTAATCATAAGTACTTGGCTTACTGTAGTGAAGAATATAAGAGGACCTAAAATACTCCAAAGACTAAAAGAGTATGACAGCTATTTGGGAAGCTGAGATGCGCAGACGGTCATTTGCACCAAGTTCAAGAACAGCCAGGACAACATAGTAACATCCCATCTCCAAAAAAATTTTTTAAAAGAATGACAAGTTTTCAGATAGCAAAATTAGTAGATTCCTGGGCTGCAGACAAGAAGAAGGACTGAGTACAAAGAGACACAGTGAGTTGCCTGAAATGTTCTAAAACCACAATAGGGGAGAGGAAGAGGGTAAAAAGGGAACTTAAGATGCATTGTGTACATGAACCAAGTCCCCATGAGGAATTTAAGCATCATGCACTGCAAACATGTAATAATAAAGATTTTTAAAACTAAAAGCAAAGCCTCTATAATGATGGCTGTGCACCTGCACACTTAATTGTTAAAATTTATGTTTTCTCTTTTATGCAGTACCAGGGATCAAACTTGGGAACTTGTTCTTGCCAGGCAGGTGCTTATGCCACTGAGCTATATCCCCAGCCTTTTAACTGTTAAATTTCAACAGGTCAACTTTACAGTACATAAATTGCACATACATACAGTTTGTTAATAAATTTTTAAAAGGGTGAAAGACTTGAATATATAACAATTACAAATTTTGTATAATATGAATTATAAACAAAATTAAAAGAAAAACACTAATTGGAAAAAAATTGCAACCTACATGGCAAAAACAAGCTTAACATTCTTCAAATTGAACCATTACAAATTTAAATACATATAAAATTATTATTATTATTATTATTATTATTATTATTTAGGGGAAGGGTCTACAGGGTGTCCAGGGTCTCACGACTAGATCAGACTTATGATCTGCCTGTTTATAGCCTCCCAAGAGCTGGGATTCAGGCGTGCACTACCATACCCAGTCTCAACCCCTGGCCCCTGTGCCTGCTTTCAGGTGCTTTAAAATATAAATAAATTCATACATAAACATATATATCTTCGAAAAGTTCAACCATAACCTTAACAAAGTCTCTTAATATATAGAAAAAATATATACTAAAGGAAAACATACACATTAATATACTTAATTGTATTATTACT